TGAAAGTCAGTCTCAATTGGATTATGCCAGAGTATTGGGAAGTTTGATGTATGTCATGAATTGTACATGACGAGACATAGCCTGCGCTATAAGTAAACTGAGTCGATACACAAGTAATCCCAATCAAAATCATTGGTTGGCAATGAAGAGAGTTTTGGGGTACTTAGAAGACACTCAAAACTATGCTTTGCATTACAACAAATATCCAGCAGTTCTTGAAGGATATAGTGATGCAAATTGGATTACTGGGTTAACTGAAACCAAATCCACGAGTGGATATGTTTTCACTATTGGTAGAGGAGCAATATCTTGGAAATCATCCAAACAAACATGTATAGCTTGCTCTACAATGGAGTCAGAATTCATCGTTTTAGACAAGGCAAGTGAAGAAGCTGAATGGATCCGGAATTTCTTAGAAGATATTCCGTTTTGGCCCAAACCAATGGCCCCTATATGCATACACTGCGATAGTCAAGCTGCAATAGAAAGGGCTGGAAGCGTTATGTATAACGGGAAGTCTCGTCACATAAGACAAAGACATAACTCTGTTAGACAACTACTCTCTAGTGGAATTATCACAATTGACTATGTAAAGTCAAAGGATAATGTGTCGGATCCACTTACAAAAGGCCTAACTAGAGAGGGAGTTGAGAGATCATCGACGGGAATGGGACTATGGCCGAGAACAAGTCATCGTGGTGGTAACTCTACCTAGAAGACTGGAGATCCCAAGATCTAGGTTCAAGGAGATCAAACAAAGTCATAAATGACAGTTCAACATTGTCAAAATTTATTTTATGTCCATTCTCATGATGAGACAATGTTCAGTAACCAGGATAAAGGCATAAGGACTTTTTAATGATTTCTAAGTTTGATATATGGTATATCAAATAGTGTATCTACGGGATAACACAATTAGAAACCACCTATGTAAGTGTGAAGTGTAAGTCGCTTCAAGGAGAATCCGGTAAGGCTAGTTCTCTAAGCACTTATTAACCGAGATGTGTTCATGGCTGAAACGAACAAAACAATGAGAACCAAAAACAGTTCAAGGGTTGATTGTGTGACTTATGTTGTCTAGGTTGTCTAGGTATACACTAAAGGTCGACGGTTCAAAGATATCAAATCTACCGATTGACCGAGTATATCCGATATATGTTCACTACGGAAAGTTTAAAGGGAAACCTACTTATCCAGATGTGATTAACCCTTACTTACAAGAAACACAAGTTTTTCATGCATATGTTTTAACAAATAGCCATTCCCCATTCATGTGGGCGATTGTTGGGTTTAGCAAGGTGTGAATGAGAAATAAAAGAGAAAATGGAAAGTGGAAAAACCAATGAAAATGAGGGAACCAATTTTGGAGGGAAAAAATTAAAAGTCATTGCAAAAGTGCAAATGAATAGTCATTTTTACCATATTGGTAGAAGAGAGGAAATTGTTGTCCTTATATTAGGAAACACTTCCTTTAGTTCTTAAAGGGTTAAGAAGAAGGTGTCCCCTCGCGCCGTCGTTGTCGCTCGCTCAGCCGCGGCTTCGGATTTGGCAAATGATTTGATTGATAATATTTTTTGGACAAAAATTTATTTAATCAATCTTGTTAAATCATTTCCTTTCTCTTATAAATTAATTCAGAATGTTAGTTAACTAACAGAATTAATTTGGCGCAACTGAATTTATTTGAAATTCACGTGTAACGGTAATCCTTCCAAAAAGTCGTTACTTTCCGAAAAGTCGTTATTTTTTCCAAACGGTAATCCTTCCAAAAAATCGTTACTTTTCCCAAAGGACACAATGTTCTGGAAAAAACGGGTCTGAATAGATTTTTCTGAACAAACGCGTTCATTGCTGCAAATGGCTATAAATAAGAGGTCTTTTTCGTTTTTTCAAACACTGAAAAAAATTTCCTCTCTGCATACATTTTCTTGCATAAATAAAATTGTCGATCGACTAAATTTATGTGTGCTCTTGTTGCTGTTCTTGCGTTCGCTGAAGTTATTGAAGTTTGAGGTACCGCTACCCCTTTAATAGGTTAATCCGTTTTATCTTGGGAGGAATTAATCTGCAACCTCGGGTACAGTGAGGGGATTAAATTTCTTAAGGACACACAGTGATTTCTGGGGACTCGGATTAAAATTCATTCTGTCTATTTCATCTTTTTTCTGTTTCTGTATTTTTGACTAACCTAAATACATGAGATAACATAGCTTCTGTTTGTATAGCTTAGTATTAGTGGTCTAATTACTCGAACTAATCATTATACACATCATCCCCTACTTTCTTTGTTTTAGATGATCTATATACCATTAATTCTTCATTTTGCAATTGACATGACTTTTGTTGACACTTTGTCAGAGCCCTAGAAATTTTATCCCAAATTCATCAACATTGTTGCCAGGTAGCACCATAATTTGACCCAAAAATTCCTCCATTATTACCCACTTCATAGAGTTGAAGTCTTTAATTTCTATGTTTGTGCAGTAACTGTAGTTCAAGTCTATTCTAATCATTCATAATTTCATATACTTTATTAATTTTTCAAAGGTTAACTAACTTTGAAACGTGTTTTGTGAATTTCTTAGCTTTAATGTAGTTTGATTCTTCGTTGATAATCTGAACATTCACTGTTATTTGAAACATATAGAACAATTACAATTTAGTAACAGAGCTGCAATTTTAACTTAATTTTGAATTACATTACAATAGGTAACATGTAACACCCCGACTTTTCAAAACATCTAAATTAACTCGTATCTTCGTGAAAAAATAAGGAGGGTGGGTAATAAATTAAAAATGATGTGGTATGTCATATTTTAAGTGTTCAAGGGTTGTATCTCAAGTTTTGGAGTTAAGCAAGTGGCAAAATAAAAGTTGACGAAAGTTATCGTAAGTTCCTTTTTAAAGATTTCTCTGAAATTTGGGTCAAATGTATTGGATGTTTTCTCCCTATATATAAATAGTTAGAAGGCCTATTACCCATTAAATCGAAGGCCTGCGAGTCTAGTTTGCAACGCACAAAACCTCGTATCAAACCGACATCAGAGTAAAAGTTATGAGGGTTTTACTAGGGACTGCCGGGGCAGAATTCGGGTTGGGTAAAAATATGGTATGTCGGCTTATTTAACGTTTTAAGCCATGAAAACATTTCATTTCAATTCCAATCCAGAGAGAAAGCTTAAGAGAGGGTTCCTATGGAGGTCTAGCATGATGAAGGTTAGTTTTTGACGATTTCTACCATTAAACATTGCCCCCGTGCCTAAAAACGTAATCCCTACACGTGGCAATCGTTTTCCCTTTTATTAACTGCGTTTGGAGCTGGTTTTTGAAGATATAAATTTGTAGTTATTAGTGTTTCTTCAAGGTTTAAACTTGGTTAACTAAGGTAATCATCTCGGGACTCTTTTATGATTATTTTTATGAATTTCTACGGACGTTTCGACAAGTTGGGGCAATATGGCAAATTTGCCGATATAAGTTTAATTATAAACTGTTTATAGGTGCGTACCAGTTGTGTATATATAGTGTTCCGAAGCTTAGGACATAAGGAACAACTTTCGTGAAGGAACTACGGTCTTTCGAGCGTTCATTAGAAAGGTATGTTAAGATTATTCCTTTCGTTCAACATGTTTCCTTAGAGGTAGTTAACGTTGGTGATCTTGTAGATGTAATTGTTAGTGGTTGGCTGATTGGGTGGTTATAAACCCTCATTTTAAGGACTCACGATTTGTTAAAAAAGACCCTAAGTTTGGAACGACTTGGAGATTATTCATACATATTGTTTATAGCTAAATTGCTCGCCTTTAGCCTATTCAATTATTTGTTGTCTCCCTTGGGGCTATTGTGGTTAGTTGTTGAGCTATGAACTGCCTATGGCGGTTATGATCTTGTCTAATAGGAGTATGTTATTGCCAAAAAGGGCTATGTGTTGCCCACGGGGTAATATTGAAGCCAAAGAGGGTTATGTGTTGCCTACAAGGTTATTTTGGCGCCAAAGAGGGTTATGTGTTGCCCACGAGGCTATATTGATGCCAAAGAGTGTTATGTGTTGCCTACGGGACTATTTTGATGCCAAAGAGGGTTATGTGTTGCCTACAGGGCTGTGTTGATGTAAAAGAGGGTTATGTGCAGCCCACAGAGCTATGATGTTGCCTAAGAGGGTTATGTGCTGCCTATGGGGTTATATCGTTGCCAAAATGGGCTATGTGACTTCTTACAAAGACAAAGGGCTACCGATATGGGTATATAGATTGATTTGGCACCTTCTGGGCTTATGGGGGCCTAAGACTGGGCGCCGGACCGGAACGGAATCACTGGACCTGAATGAACCGGTACCAGACCGGAACGGGATGGGTTGACCGGTTTGTTGACCGGTACCGGGATGAACCGAATCAGAATTACCGGTACGGATACACGGTTCCGTCCTGTCCCACTATATACCGGGATGGAACCGGAACGAACCGAAATGGAACGGGATGGGATAAACGGAACGACACATCTAGCTATTTCAAAAAATGATTAAAAAAATTTAGTTATTTAATTTTTTGAAATACAAAAATATTAATGTTTTTTATTTTCTAAGTTAATTAATAGTTTTGAAATTTATAATGTAGTTTTACTTAAGTTTATTTTAAAAATATTTTTTTAATTTTTACTTATTAAGTTTGCAAGTTAAGTTTAATAAAGTTTTTTAAAAAAAATAGTTTTGTAGCTTAGTTTTAAATATTTGAAATTTTTACTTAAGTTTATTTTAAAGATATTTTTTTTAATTTTTACTTATTAAGTTTGCAAGTTAAGTTTAATAAAGTTTTTTTTTAAAAAAATGTTTTTGAGCTTAAGTTTTCAAGATTTGAATCTTTTGAAGTTTATAAGTTATTACTTATTAATATGTTATAACTTATAAGTTATATTTATAACTTGTAATTTAAATAACTTAAGTTTGTAATTTTAAAAAATTAAATAAAAATAAGGATAAAACAATGACACAAAGTCACAAAGTCACAAATTAAGAAATATCAATCCAATATTCCAATTTATTTAAATTTGTATTGCAAATTACAATTTACAACTATTAGTAGAGTGCATAGTTTACGCAGCCACCTTCTAGGAAGGGTTCTGTTTCAACTAAGCCTCAAATGTAATACTAATAGTTGTATAGTCCCGTAAATCCTTTCTCTAACTCAGCTATAGATTGACCGTAATCAACTACTGGTCTTGGTAAAGCTCGTTGACGATCTTGAAGTTCCATGCCATCGTCACTACCACATCCAATGGCTGAATCTATGAAAAGTTCAAATTGACTATCCAACTTTGGAAGTCCTTGATTTCTCTGCTCAAGTCACTACCACATCCAATGGCTGAATCTATGAAAAGTTCAAATTGACTATCCAACTTTGGAAGTCCTTGATTTCTCCGCTCAGCATTTATCCAATCTCTAAACAACACCGATATCTCCAAACTGTCTTCTGCTAACGAGTATCTGTGGTCTCCAATTTGAAATCTTGTCGCGCTGAAAGCTGCCTCCGAAGCAACTGATGATCCTTGACTTGCAAGCACGTCCTTCACCATCCTACTAAGTTTTGGAAATTGAGTTTCATGAGCCCTCCACCAGTTCAATAATTGTGGTATACCTTCATCGTTTGTAATATTATCTGAACCCTGTTCAAGATATTTAACAAATTCACATTTATTAGAAGAGTCAAGACCAAGTTTATGTTCACTCTACCATGGGCACCAACTTGAGGCATAGACATTTGAGGATTTTCAACATTATCTAAGGAACAATATTTATCATACATTTCTTTAGCAAGTAATTTTATACTATTTTGACATGTTACCAAATCAGGTGTTTCTTCTGGTTTAATATCTAAATTTTGATAAATGCATTCAACTAAAGCTTTTGCACCATATTCTTTATATTCGGGATTGAAAAGAATTGCAGTTAAATAAATTTGAGGATTAGAAAAAAAATATTTCTTAAATTTTGTAATCATAACTTCAATAGCACTGGTAAATAATTCATTTGTTTTATATTCAGAAAAGATATATGAAATCTCACATATATTTATTAATATTTCAGAAATAGTAGGATAATACATTCCAGAAA